AAGAAAGAAAGAAAGAAAGAAAGAAAAGAAAAAGAAAGGAAGAAAGGAAGGAAGGGAGAGAAAGCAGGCACAAGTGTGCCAGGTCAGTGCCCATTGGAGTGAGAGAGAGCTCCCCACTGCCTCTGGGTGTGGGGGCCTCTGGAGCCTCCAACCACTTGCCTTCGCCCCCTCCGGGGGGGGGGGAAATGGTCCAGGCTGCTTAGTGTAGCTCCCAGAGCCCCTCCCTCCTGCTCCCCTGTACCGGGCTGGCTGTCCCAGCAGCAGGAAGTGAGATCTCCACCAGCATGCCAAGCCAACAGGAAGAGGCCAGGATGTGCACCCTAATCCCTGACTGCTCCAGACAGCAAAACTCCCACTTAACTCCTTGAGCAAGTGCCAAGTTCCTCAGTTTCCCTATCTGTAAAAGGAGGACTTCTGTTATTCCTGAACTAACTCCCAAGTATCACCGAACTGCTGGGAATATCAAATAGGACAAGAAGCATTCAGAATGGTGCTAGAAATAGCAAACTCTCTTTGCATAACCTGCAGTGCCCACCCCAGGGCCACGAACAGGTCAAGTGCTTAGTAAATGTCAGTGGAAGTAGGTGGAGACAGGTGGACATAGGTTCAAATGTGTATGACCTTGAACAGGTGATTTCTCAGAGCCCCAGAGTCTCATGTGTCAAAAGCAAGATAATGATGATGCTTGCCTCATAAGGCTGCTGCAGGGATTACATGGGAATAGAAGCATATACAATGGTAACATCGATGATTAAAACTGGCTTGTGAGGATAAAGAAGAAGTTGTATATATATGTATATATATACAAATTTATACACACACACGCACGCACACACACACACACTGGAATATTACTCAGCCATAAAAATGAACAAAAACTTGTCATTTGCAACAATGTGGGTGGAACTAGAGGTATTATGCTAAGTGAAATAAGTCAGTCAGAGAAAGACATATACCACATGATTCCACTCATATGTGGAATTTAAGAAACAAATGAGATGAACATAGGGGAAAGAAAAAAAGGAGGGAGGCAAACCATAAGAGACTCTTATTTATTTATTTGAGAGAGAGAGAGCGTGCGCTCGCACTCATACACGTGTTGGGGGAGGGGCAGAGGGGGAGAGAGAGAATCCCAAGCAGACTCCCCACTGAGTGCGGAGCCAGATGAGGGCCTCAATCCCACAACCCACAACCCTGAGACCATGACCTGAGCTGAAATCAGAGTCAGATGCTTAACTGACTGAGCCAGCCAGGCACCCCAAGAGACTCTTAACTATAGAGAAAAAACTGAGGGTTGCTGGAGGGGAAGTGGGGGGTGGGAGGGCACTTGTGATGAGCACTGGGTATTATATGTAAGTGATGAATCACTAAATTCTACTCCTCAAACTAATGTTACATTATATGTTAACTAACTAGAATTTAAATAAAAACTTGAAACATTAAAAAAAAATTAGGGGGGTGCCTGGGTGGCTCGTTAAGCGTCTGCCTTCGGCTCCGGTCATGATCCCAGGGTCCTGGGATCGAGCCCCGCATCGGGCTCCCTGCTTGACGGGAAGCCTGCTTCTCCCTCTCCTACTCCGCCTGCTTGTGTTCCCTCTCTCGCTGTGTCTCTCTCTGTCAAAGAAATAAATAAAATCTTAAAAAAAATAAAATAAAATACAAAATAAAAAAAATTAGGGGCACCCGGCTATCTCAGTCAGTGGAATGTGTGACTCTTGATCTCGAGGCTGTGGGTTCGAGCCCTACACTGGATGTGGAAATTATTAAAAATAAAATCTTAAAAAAAATAACTTGTGAATTGAAAAAGAGGAGTAAAACAAAGTCCTTGCTCTCAAAGACTTAACAGTTGTGGCAAATAGGATTCATCTCTTTTGAGACACCTTCAGTGGGTTGGCAGGGGCAGCCTTGAGCTCTGTGTAGAAGACTATAAAACCAGATCTACTCAGCATGAAGAAGGGATTGATTATCAATGCCTGCCATGGGACAGGAGGTGGGAATGTGGCAGCAGGTGTACAGCGCATATGCTGACCCTGATCTGGCTGGAGAGAAAGACACATAAGCAAAAACTCCGAGACCGGCCAAGCAACTTGTTTGGGGAAGGCAGAATCAGGAGCCATTCCACCAAGCCCTGTTATATTCAAGCCAAGCCTTGAAGGACATAGGGAAGGAAGGTCACTCTAGACAGAGGAAATAGCTTGAGCAAACACACTGAGCCTGGGTTGTGATGCTTTTGGCTGCAGAGAATAGGCTGCCCAATCAAAGGGCTTTGACAATAAGGAAAATATATTACCTTCAAGACAAGGAGTCCAAAGGCATGTGATTTCAGGGCTGGCTAATTGAGCAGCCCAAAATGGCATCAAGTTCCATACATTTTCGACTGTACTGCCGTTATGGGCTGAATTATGTCTCCCTGAACTTATATGTTGAAACCCTAACACCTAGTACCTCAGAATGTGGCTGTTTTCAGAAATAAGGCCTTTAAAGTGGTAACCAAATTAAAATGAGGCTGTAGAGTGGGCTCTAATCTAATCGGACTGGTATTCTAAGAAGAGGAAATTCGGACACACAGAGAGATACCGGCGGTGCGCGCGCGCGCACACACACACACACACACACACACACACACACACACACACACACACA